GCCATAATAGCAACGTGACAATGTAAGAAACCGAGGCACCCCTCGCGGCTCAAGAACATTCCGGGAAACCTTTGTCAACGGAGGTTTTAGTTTTGGTTCCCTATATCAAACCTCGGCAAAAACGGAAAGAAAACACCATGGAACTGCACCACGCCCTTCAACGCAGCGTACCTCGCCGAGACTTCTTAGGTTGACCTACGTATGAATGTGATGCAGTAAGTATACTACATCTCTCGTGACTTTATCACCTGGTAACTGATTCAAGGCGAAGGCAAGCCACGTCGCTTCAGTGAAGCTAAACCTAATGTTGATCGGCGTACACTGCACTACGCATAGACTCCTCGTGGGTTTTTGTTTTCGACTTCAACAAACTTCGGGGAGTACCACCATCGAGGTTTAGGTTAGTATCGGACTTTCACAATGTATCTATGTCGCGTTTTACATGCGCTCTCAATCCATCATCAGCTTTTACTTTTATTGCCCGATACTTTTGGCCCCTAGATTCCACTACGTTTTTGTGTTTCCCGAACTTGCCTTCGCCTTTAGTTAGTTACGGTCTGATAAAGTCACGACAAGAGAAGTATACTTGCTGCATCACATGCACACGTAAGTGAACCTACGAAGAATCGGCGAGGCACGCAGCTTTGAGGGCCGTGGTGCAGGTCCGCGATGTCCGCTTATGGTTGGCCGTGGCCGGATGAAGGATACCGAAATTAAAATCTTCGCTGACAAATGTTTTCCAGAAGGCACTTGAGCTGCTAGGGGATCCTCGGTTTTGCACAGTGCCCATTAGATTTTTCCGTTGGTCAAAGTTTATGGTGAGCCGGCATCATCTAATATGAACACAAAAACTGGCAGATAAATAGAGCCACATCAACTGCTGTTATCATTGTAGAGCAATCCCACTTCAATAAATTTGTTCTCTCTGATACATCACACAGGTCACACATTCTTTTTAGACTTTTTTTTTTTTTTTAATTTCATCTGCAGCCCTTTTTTCCGCCCTTAAAATCACACGACCCCACTTCGCGCACAGCGGCGTCGCTCGGCATCTGGAGCAAGGAGGGTTTTTCTTTTCACGTGTAGTAACCCACGTTGGCATATTTTCATAAGATTTCTCACAACCTGAAGAAATACGCGAGGCAGTTTGGAGTGGAAAAATAATTGGGATTGTGTAGATATTTATACAGCGTGTAGTTGGTCAGCCATTTCAAAGTTGCGACAAGTCACTCGCTGTAGATGAGCAAATTAGCCAGTGCAGTAGAACCGCTAGCCTGGAGCCTTTAACGTGCACCAAGCAAGCAGTGATACGCGTGCGACCGCGCGCCGGCACGATGCTCATCCAGATCGAAACGTTTGGAGTGGATACCGTCTTTAGTTAAGGTTTTAGGTTAATTAAATTGACGTCATTTGAAACATGTACAAGTGAGTGCAAAATGACCTTTCGTGAAAAATCGGTATGTTGCGAGATTGGTGTTGTGTATGAACAACCATTGGAGTGTGAGTTTAAGTTCGTAGGACAGACGTCGTGCTGCAACAATGACAGATTACACGGAAATAAAAGAAATGTGAACAGCAATGCACAAAACTCGGAGACCGCGAAGCATAATCATGAATACAACTGCACGGTGCTATGGTCGGAGACAAATCATACATAAAAAGATGAACGATGTAAAAAATAAAACTGGGGTGCGTGTACGTTTATACAGCCTAAAACATGGTCTGCCTCAACGGGCGACGAGTCTCCCAGCTGTAGATGAGCAATTTAGCCAGTGCAGTACAACCGCTAACCTGGGATCTTTAACGTGGACCACGCAGTAGTGATACACGACCGCACGCCGGTACGATGCTCATCCAGATCAAAAGGGGCGGGGGTGGGGATTGAACCCAGGATCCTGGGTTCTGCAGCGCGAGCTTTCGCTCCACCTGCTCCGAGCTGGTGTGCGCTAGCGCACTTGGCCGGTGTAAGGACTGTGCGTATAAAATCTTAAGGCATTTGTATAAGTCAACTAAACTGTACGCCAAAAAAAAAAAAAAGAAAAAAAAAACAGGGACAAGAGGAAGAAGGGGCGTCAACGTGCTGTCTCTTCTTATTGTCCCTGTTTTTTAGGCGTTCAGTTTTAATGAAGAACCAACTAGCCCAACTTAATTTTTTATTTTTATTTATTTATTTATTTATTTCAAAATACTGCCAATCCCCGAAGGGATTATTGCAGGCATTGGTACACAATAAAAAGATACATGTGAGGCACTTAACAACGAATGAACAACACTTCTCGTCATTCAAAACATCCAATAATTACGAAAAAAGTTCATCTTCGACTGCATTGATAAATGATTCAACAGTGCCGTGACTGAACACGTGTGGATCAAGGCTATTCCAGATTCTAATGGCAGAGGGAAAAAATGAGTGTTTAAAAGTGTTATTATGAAACGAATAGTCAACAAGTGTATGGCTGTGCTTGTGTCTAGTCGGTCTTGTGTTAGACAATTGTACGTACTTGGATGAGTCAATCTTAAAGGCGCCTTGTAAAAGAAGGTAGAGAAATTTTAGACGATTTAATGTTGCGCGGTCAGTAATGGTCTGTAAACCTGCTCTTTTCAGAAGCTCTGTAGGGGAGTCAAAACGACCATACTTATGATAAACAAACCTAATTGCCTTTCTCTGAAGGCTTTCAAGTGTGTTTATGTTTATATTCGTGTGAGGGAACCAAGCAATATTTGCGTATTCAAGCACTGGACGTATAAGGGTTTTATATGCTAGGAGTTTTGTTTCACAAGGCGAACCTTTTAAGGTTCTCTTCAGAAGGAATAATTTCGTGAGAGCTTTATTAAATACATATTTAACGTGTGCGTTCCAGTTAAGATCAGATGTTATTAAGACTCCTAGGTACTTATACTCGGTGACTCTATGCAAGGGTTCATCTTTAAGGCTATATTGAAACTGGGAGACATTCTTTTTCTTTCTCGTGAAACTCATGGAGACTGTTTTTTCTTTGTTAATCACCATTTGCCAGTCATCGCACCAGTCGGAAATCTTTTTAAGAGATTTGTTTAGTAGGATGTGATCGTCTTGGTTCTTAATTTCTTGATATATGATACAATCGTCAGCGAATAATCTTATGTTAACATCAATGCCATCGGCTATGTCATTTATGAAAAGTAGAAATAAAAATGGAGCTAAAACGGAACCTTGTGGGACGCCGGATACTACTGCAACTGGTCGCGTACTTTGTCCCTCGTGATAAACAAATTGGAAACGATTTTTTAAGTAGTCTTCAATCCATGCAATTATCGGTCCTTCGCCCATAACATGTTTAAGTTTTATTATCAGTTTGTCGTGGGAAACGCGATCAAACGCTTTCGAGAGATCCAAGAACACTGCATCTACCTGACTTCTGTTGTTTATGCCCATCGTGAAATCGTGAAGAATCTCAATTAGCTGTGTAACGGTCGATAGTCCACTTCTAAAACCATGCTGATGTGGGAATAAGATATTGTTATTTTCTACAAATGATGTCATGACTTTGAGAATAATATGCTCGAGAAGTTTGCAGCAGGTGCAAGTAAGTGATATGGGCCTAAAATTTGAGGCTAGAGTTTTATCGCCAGATTTATGTATAGGGATTACTTTCGCAACTTTCCATTCGGCGGGTACCGAAGAAAGGAAGAGAGACTTGTTAAAAATTAACACTAAATACTTGCTAACCCATTCGGCGTATCTTTTAAGAAACATATTCGGAATTTCGTCAGGACCGTTACCTTTTTTGGTGTCTAAATTGAGTAAAAGTGCAAATATGCCTGGTTCCGTAACTATTAGGCTTCCAAGTTCTTCAGCAGTGTTGCATTGTGGTAAAGTTAAACCGTCATTACCATCATCAGCTGTAAATACCGACTTAAAGTAATTGTTAAATTCATCTGCCATTTTTTGTTTCTCTATGGAGCTCATACAATTCATTTGAGACTTTTTAGGGTTAACGTGGTTCCAAAATTTCCGAGGTGACGCTTTCATGAACTCGTGGAGGGTCACGTTATAGTACTTATGTTTGGCTTCTTTAATTTTTAATTTAAGAAGTTTAGAGTGCTCTGAAATCTTTGCTTTGTAGTCGGTGTTATCCTGGAGGGAGTGTATTTTTGATGACTTCCTTAGCCGCTTGAGTTTGCGTTTCAGGTGGATAATTTCTCGCGTGATCCATGGGTTGTGCTTTCTTGTTATTTTTTGTTTTTTTGGGATGAACTGTGTAACACAGTGCGTGATAATTGATTTAAACTCGTTCCATATGTCGTCAATACTGACATCTATCTCGTCACAAAGTTCACGGAAATCATAAAATCTATGAGCAAGGTACGTTAATATACACGCGTCATCGGCACTGTTGAAATCAAGTACAGTTTTGATGGTACCATATGAGAACCTAGATGTTCGTATAGGTATGGTGCATATAACTGCTTTATGGTCGGATATGCCCGTTACTACTTCAACATCGACTTGGCTCTGGGGGAAGTGGTCACTAAGAAATACAAGGTCAAGCAGACTGCTGGACGTTCCCTGCACCCGTGTTGGCTCTCTGACGATTTGTGACAGATTAAACGCAAATAAAATGTCTAATATTGCATCAGAGGTAACAGTGCCAAGTTGCAGCGAATCCCAGTTTACCTCAGGTATATTAAAATCGCCAGCCATAATAATCCTTTGATTTTTAATGTGTTGTTGCATGTAATCATATAAGTTGTACAGACACTTGTGGTCGGAGTTTGGAGGCCGATAAACGACACCTACAACAACAGAATAATAATCGAATGACACTTTGCACCATAAAGATTCAACATCTTTCACATCAGGCATATGTCCGTAGGGGATACCTCGTTTTAGAAGTATTGCTACTCCGCCACCTCTAGTCGTTCTGTCTTTTCTCAGAATGATGTAATTTGGTGGGACAATTTCGCTATCAAGTATTAAGGGATGTAACCACGTTTCTGTGATTGTAACTATGTGTGGATTAAATTCTAAGAGAAAGGACTCCAATGAATATGCTTTATTTTGAAGACTCCTTGCATTTATATTTACGACTCTAAGGTTAGATGGCAGAATGTGGCTTTCGGTTAGTTTTCGTCGGGAACATCGTTTTTTTCTACGGGAATTATGTCTTCTTTTGTCTCATCCCACGCATAGAGATGCCCATTTATGCGAACCTTATCATATGTTAAGAAAACCTTTTCTCGCTTATCTCGGTTTGCTTTAGTGCGGTCCCAAAGCTTCTTACGTATTTGCTGTACGTGTCGGGAGAAATCTTCACCGATTGAAAAATCTGTTCCTTTCAGTTTGACGCAGTTTTTCAGTATCTTTGATTTATCTCTACTGTCCAGTAGTTTGAGTATGACTTGACGGATCTTGTTATCAGCCTGTTTCCCGAGGCGGTGAATTCTTTCGATGCCTGCTATTTGTACGTTTAGAATTCTCTCGAGAATTTCACCTACGACCACTCTTTCGAGTGTCTGACTGTTTTCGTTCTCTTGTTCTTTAATTCCGTAGACAATCAGATTCGACCGTCTACTTCGATTTTCTAAGTCGTCTACCTTTCTGGTAATAATTTTAACAGTCGTTTCAAGTTCAGTTATTCTCTCCCGACATGCACTGACGTTCTTTTGAAGCGTACTGAGACTTTCCAGTTTGTGCTCGATCGCAGAAAGTCTGTCATTTGTTATACCCTTTTCATTTTTAATTTCCTGTATGTCCCGGGCGATTTCTTTCAGTTTTTGTAAAATAGCGCCTGTTTCTGGACCAGGGTTGACCTCAACATCGCCGCTCAGCAAAAGTAGCATTCTCAGAGAGAAAAACACATCGCACAACCACAAGTAACAGGACCGTGGGCACGGCAGCAAAATCAAGCAAACATTATTGCTACGGTAGGACTTGCAAAATCGTTTGCTTACCTGGACGAGAAAGACGAATGGGTTGTTAGCCCTCATGTTGGCAGTGCTGCCGTGCCCAATGCTGTGGAGCGTCTCGCTGCGCCGTTTTATAGCCCGAAACGGTGATGTCACAGTCGAAGATAAAAGTTCATCAAAAAACGAACGACTGATTCCAGGTTCGAAGATAAGATGCTTGCTGTCGTCCAGCGTCGGTGCAATTCCTCCGATGACGGAAGGGAACGGCGTGTCGCGGCGCGCAGCATCGGTGCCTGCGTTCAGCTTGTTGACGTTGACCGGCACCAGCACAATGTCAAGCAGGATCTGGACGAGAAAGACGAATGGGTTGTTAGCCCTCATGTTGGCAGTGCTGCCGTGCCCAATGCCGTGGAGCGTCTCGCTGCGCCGTTTTATAGCCCGAAACGGTGATGTCACAGTCGAAGATAAAAGTTCATCAAAAAACGAACGACTGATTCCAGGTTCGAAGATAAGATGCTTGCTGTCGTCCAGCGTCGGTGCAATTCCTCCGATGACGGAAGGGAACGGCGTGTCGCGGCGCGCAGCATCGGTGCCTGCGTTCAGCTTGTTGACGTTGACCGGCACCAGCACAATGTCAAGCAGGATCTGGACGAGAAAGACGAATGGGTTGTTAGCCCTCATGTTGGCAGTGCTGCCGTGCCCAATATTTTGTATAAGTCAGGTTTTGTTACAGTTCGGAAGCAATTCAAACAGCTTTTTAAAAATGTAGTGTAAATTTTTCTTGTGTGTGTGTTGAAGTGTGAATGGTAACCCTCCGAATGTGATTGTCCAAAATGACTATAAAGTGCACTTTTTGTTTTTTGGTTTCTGACGTGCGTTGACCCGAATACCGTTTCGGTGTTTGTTGGAGCATAGTGGGCGGTGAGGGCGTCTTTTGAATCAGACTCTGGAACTGCATTTGGAATAGAAGGGGAGATATATACTTTTGTTCAAGTTTGAAGGAAGATGGATGTTGCCTTATCGCGTTAACCTGTAAGTTTATCAACATTCTTATGTTGTGTGATGCAGACTGTTGTGCTTGAACTCTATAGACTTCGTCTTTTTTTGTTTTTGGTGATGACCTTAAGGTTGAGACTATATAAGGTAACACAGACTAAATGAACGAGTTAGCTGAGTTTGTGACGTCGTCCTATCTATTTTCTGTCTCTTCTACGCTCTGATGTTTCTTCTCTGCTCCACTCTCAGGCTAATTGAACATTGTTAGAATTTGTGCATCGATACTCTTTTATTTCCACCCGAAAACAGTCGGTCGACAATAGGAATTAAAACGTACCAAATAAACTGAAGGTCGTGGTTCACCTAAGGCACACATTGAATATTAAAACAAGAAAAGAACATGGATCCGATATTTGTGGCCTCCAAGAAAATGAAAATGTTGATAATAATATTTGTTTTGAAATCACAGTGACTATAAGTAGTACGTCATTCTCAATATGGTGACGTACCACAGGCTGGACGACACGATGGTGGCGGACGACGGATTAACGTTGCGACGTAGGTGGGGCCGCTACTTCGGAACGGTCGTCCGCGGTACCGGCCAATTGACTTTTAAGCGCAAAACACCGAGGGGAAGGAATATAAGTTCTAAATAATTGCACGACAAATAGAGCACGCAACGTCGTTGTCGTCATCGCCGTCTGCTTCACACGCCGGAGAAGCAGACAAAACTAAACAAAAACGAGGTCGGGTGTAGCCACGTGACTTCCTGTAACTCTCCACCAGATTTATCCCACGTCCTCGGGACATATCGCCCACATGTCACGACCATGAGCTTCTGTGCTCTTGTTTCGGTTTCGAGCAGTTGAGTATTAATGCTTTAATAAAAATATGCGTGACAATGTAGCAATATTTCGATTGGACAGTCTCCTGACATCATATTAAAGCACCTGGCAGAAAATAGAAAAAAAGTTTTTGGAGTGCGTTTCTTGACGGATGTTGAGATCCAGGAAGTGCTAATGGATTCAAAATTTGATGACAGTAAAGCTGAGTGTCATTGGGGTATTGATGAAGGTGATGACACGTCATCACCACCAAAAAAAAAAAAACACTAAAGAAAAAAAAAAGAAGAAAACACTGATGCCAACTGTACTCGGGATGACTTTGTTCCCAGTGTTCACTTTAATTCAGTAGTTAAAAAAGTCTTTGAACCGAAAGCAACATAATCTGGTAAATAAATGCAAATATTGAAGCATGCAGCCGCGTTTCTGTCCAATTTTCTTTTTGTTGAGAGAAAAAAAGTTTGGCAGAGGGTGCACGCCGGGACGAAAAAAACCCGGCACTTTGAAAAGGCACTACCCCCCCCCCCCCCACACACACACACACACATATACACACAAACAATTTCTTTTCAAGGTGATGGTGTAAGCAGACTACCCAGTGTTGAGGAGGAAGAATAATTTCTGCCCTCATTAACGTAAATAAGAGCAAAGTCACACTGTCAACCCTGACGGCGTTGATTGAGAACGTGATTGTTAGGCTGCCGCGGGCTTTTTACGCTCCATCGAACTTGTCGCTCACTACTAAAAATATCGGCCGTGACGTCAAGGATTGGAACCACCGAAACATTTCGTCGCCAATAAAGCCAGTAAATAAGTTACGCTTGGGAGTGACTACACTTAGGCATCTTGGTGCTTATAAATTAAAAGTCCACTTTGACAGTTATCCGAAGCTTTATCTCACATAACAAAAAACGCTGTGACGTCCTCTAAAAAAAAAGTTTACATTGTTTGTGATAAAGCAAAACGATATCGTCTGAGCTTCCTGAGACCATACGAAACATCTAAAGCTGAGCAATTTGTATTTTCAAATCGTAACGATCGCTCTTTGCTCCCGCTCTGCTCTAAGCGCCAAAATGGCGGCGCCCGCAAGAAAATCGCCGAACGGAGTATCAATAGATTTTAATGGTAGCTGAATTTGTAGCTCTAGGTGTGTTCATTCTCGGCTCGAGCGCTATCTAATATGGTTTCTTTTTTTGGTGGCAATTTCAGAGGGAACGTGCACAATTACCCTGTCTACGAGGTCGGCGAAGGGTGCAGCCAGTGTCCGAAGGGAACCACGTGCAGCTCGTCATACCCCGGCCTGTGTAGCCTCAAAATTAAAGGCTGAAATGTATTTAGAGATTGCAAACTCCTGACCGTCGCGACATTATTGGATTTATATGGGGCTTTGTTTTTGTGAATACAGACTAAGGCAATTCCCAATGTTGCCAATGCGAAGCAGAAAGAAAAAGTTCCCCCCTATTTTTTTATGGCCGCAAGTGCAGCCGAATTTGGGAAACTAGATGGAAAGTACAAAATGCCTCCCCCCCCCCAAAAAAAAAAAAGAAAAAGAAAAGAAAAGAAAATGAAGAAAAAAAAGGGCGCATTTTTTATTACGGAAATAAAATATGCATCGTCGAACGTTTATTTTCCGCCGAAATGTCGGGCTAGAGGTTCGAAACAAATGCCAAAGTTTGAGTACGAACCGATGTGATTTTTTGAAAATTTATTTTAAAAATGGTGCCCAATTTTTCCATTTTTCGATAAATGGCGTCATAGAGATTTATGCATTTGAGAGCATTGAAATTTTCAGAAAATCAGCCATAACTTTTGAATAAGAAAATGGCTAGTGCCGAAACTTTGACATGTGGCTTGAACCTCTAGCTTTACATTTAGGTGGAAAATGAACTTTCGGCAATAAGTAGCTTATTTTTGTAGAGAAAAAAAATAAACATACACACGCACACACACACGCTCACAACTAAAAACAAACAAAAATATAATGGGGGCTTCCTCTACTTGTATATGTACTCAGCGTTCACTGTTTAGGCTTTTAGCAAACAGTTACCGTGTTTCGCCTACCGCACTACTGGAGCCCTTGAATCATGTTTTAAGCTCGCGCCCCGGGTGAAATCGTGACCGTGAGGTGCACGCTTTAAAGCATACTTCAAAGGCTCGGGTAGTACGGCACGCGGAACCCGGTAACGGTTTGCTAAAAGTTCCTATTGGGGATCTTTAACAAACCTTTACTGTGCTTCGCGTACCGCACTACCGCAGCCATTGAAACATGTTTTAAGCTCGCGCCCGGGTAAAACCTTGACCGTAGGGTGCGCGCTTTAAAGCATGCTTTAAAAGCTTCAGCATAACGGTACGTGGAACCCGGTAGCGGTTCGCTAAAGCTCCTATTGGGGACTTTTAGCAAACCGTTACCGTGTTCCGTGCACCGAACTACTGGCGCCTTCGAAGCGAGCTTCCAAGCGCGCGCCCGGAGTGATACCGTGACCGCGGAGCGGAACACGGTAATGGTTGGCTAAAAATCCCGAATATCAACGCTAGTGCAGCTTTCACAGTGCTGCAGTCTCGCACTGTTGCGAGAACATGTGGCTTCGTGTTGCATCTCATTTGCACGCGCTCGCGCAGCTAGCTTCGCCAGAGTTGGAGCACTGTGGAAGCTATGAAAGCCCTGAGAGAGTTGCGCAAAATAGTTGACGCTATACTCTGTTTCATACTTAAGGTGCAACGCTGTCAAAGCTATACTGGTGCGAAAGCGTGGCTTCATCTATGGTTTTGTTTGCGCGAGAACACGTGGAAATGGTCAACGATAGAGAGCCCCGTGCTCGCGCCGGTAGCTTTGACAGCGTTGCACACTAAGTATGAAAGAGAGTATAGACGTTTCCATTGTCTCCAAAAATCACCAGTCCACACGTGCTAAATCACAGTCCAGCCAGCTGTCGCGCGCGATTTCGGCGAGCCAGAAAGTGCGCGTGCCTAAAACACAAGCACATCAATGTACGCGCCCTCAAACAGTTTTATAGAAAGGTGTATACAATTGACGACGTGCTCGACCAAAAGCGTCGCTGTGTCGGCATTTTTCGATTGGCCAAACCCCCACTAAAAAGTCTTAGAAGGACCATGAAATGAGTTTTCAACTTGTTCCCCCTTAACTTTCCTCAACTCAAAAACAAAATGAAAAATCACGGTGTCGCGACGTGCTTGAGCACCGGTACGATGACTCCAAGCTTCCATCGTCCTTCTTAAGTCCACCATGAAACTTGTAATTTGCGAGCGATGATAAGTGCCGTCTCAGCACTGATAGGCTAAGAACGCGAGTTCAAATACTCGTCGACGGATTGATACTTGTCATTTGCGAGCTATAATAGGTGCCGTCTCAGCACTGATAGGTTACGAACGCGAGTTCAAATATTCGTCGACGGGTTGATTGTTGACGAGCGCTTACGGCTCTGTGACGCAGTGCTCGTGTCCAACGCGGCTCCTTCGCTCGGGTGGAAGAACTTCTGTTTCCGATAGGAAAGGATTACTTTACGTCGACGAGTCGTCGAGAAAGACGTGAAACGCAGACCTGGGTTTACATCTTTCTTTTGTTCAAAACTAGAAGCAATAAAACCAAAGGGGATTCCTGCTCCGGGTTTTATGAACGTTGAAGATGAATTGGGGTTTACATTTGAAAAACAAAAGAAGCTGTAAAATCATTTCACGGTCCCTTTAAGTGTGATCAATTCTGGTTTCGTCGACGGAAATGAGGGAAACGTTAAAGTCTCAACTTTCATGTTGGTCTAAGAACGAGATATTTCCTGGCCTCCATCGTTCTTTTGACACACACC